AATTCTACAGTCACCCTTCCCTTGTGTTTTGCAGATGCACTATTGGGCTCAGAGATTGCACAGGTGACTGGGAATGATGTGGACTCTGGACCAGTGTTATGGTATGTGCTGAGCCCATCTGGGCCTCAGGATCCCTTCAGTATTGGCCGGTATGGAGGACGTGTCTCCCTCACGGGCCCCCTGGACTTTGAGCAGTGTGACCACTACCACCTACAGCTGCTGGCACATGATGGGCCTCATGAGGGCCATGCCAACCTCACAGTGCTTGTGGAAGATGTCAATGACAATGTACCTACCTTCTCACAGAGCCTCTACCAGGTACCAGCTCGGTCTGGATGGCCCCATACCTGGGTCTGGGGTTCTTCCTGTTGGAGCAGTAGGACAGAGGTAGAAGTGGCTGGACTGGGCTGGATGTTAGGGTTGATCTTGGAATGGGTGGAGAGTGTCCCATGTTAGGCTGGCTTTCCAGGTTCTGGGAACTGCATCCAAGTCCTCCATCCAGTGGTGAGAAGGGAGAGGGCCGGCAGTTCTTACTCCAGTGCTATGGAGTACGGTTCTAAGCTGGACACCAAGCACAGCTCATGGGGCCAAGCTCCAGCTCATAGGCTACGGGGGACAGTATGACAGCTGGGAAGCTGGCTGTGAATACTCTCTGTTACTCCTCAGGTAATGATGTTGGAGCACACCCCTCCTGGCAGCGCCATTCTCTCTGTCTCTGCCACTGACAGAGACTCGGGTGCCAACGGTCACATATCCTACCATCTGGCTTCCCCTGCTGAGGGCTTCAGGGTCGACCCTAACAATGGTATGTCTTTCCCATAATCTAATCCCTTTATCTTTGACTCTATTGGTTTATGCTTGGCGCTCAGTCCTAAAAATTGGTTACTTCATGATATTATTTCTGGATCTCTGACTCAGGAAGGGCATTCACTCCATCCTATCTTTATTTAAAAAAAAAAAAACACCTCCCTCCTGACTGTGTGTCTAGAAGCTGTTTCCTGAACTTTGAATACCTGAGGATACTGCATGCTGTCCCAGCACATGGGCTGTTCCTACAAGTCTGGCTCCCAAAGCCATTGCGTATACCTGGAGAATAGCTCTTGTTGACACAGTGACATTATTGAATGCTTGTTTCTTTCCCTCCCCTTCTCGTGTCAGGAACTCTGTTCACAACAGTAGGAGCAATGGCCTTGGGTCATGAGGGGCCGGGAGTGGTGGATGTAGTGCTGGAAGCACGAGACCATGGGGCTCCAGGCCGGACAGCACAGGCCACGGTGCATGTGCAGCTGAAGGACCAGAATGACCATGCCCCAAGCTTCACGCTCCCACACTACCGTGTTGCTGTGTCTGAAGATTTGCCCCCTGGTTCCACCCTGCTCACCTTGGAGGCCACAGATGCTGACGGGAGCCGCACCCATGCTACTGTGGACTACAGCATCATCAGTGGCAACCGGGGCCGAGTCTTCCAACTGGAGCCCCGTCTAGCTGAGGTCGGGGACGGTGTTGGGCCAGGTCCCCAGGCTTTGGGCTGCCTAGTGTTGCTTGAGCCTCTAGACTTTGAAAGCCTGACACAGTACAATTTAACTGTGGCTGCAGCTGATCGGGGACAGCCACCCCGCAGTTCAGCCGTGCCAGTGACTGTCACTGTCCTGGATGTCAACGACAACCCACCTGTCTTTACCCGAGCATCCTACCGTGTGACAGTACCTGAGGACATGCCTGTTGGAGCTGAGCTATTGCATGTGGAGGCCTCTGATGCTGACCCTGGACCTCATGGCCTTGTGCATTTTACCCTTAGCTCAGGTGACCCTTTGGGCCTCTTTGAGCTGGATGGGAACTCGGGTGCTCTGAGACTGGCCCGTCCTCTGGACTGTGAAACCCAGGCTCAACACCAGCTTGTGGTGCAGGCAGCTGACCCTGCTGGAACACACTTTGCTTTGGTACCAGTGACAGTTGAGGTCCAGGATGTGAATGACCATGGCCCAGCCTTCCCACTGAGCCTGCTCAGTACTAGCCTTGCTGAGAACCAGCCTCCAGGCACTCTCGTGACCACACTACATGCAATTGATGGGGATGCTGGGACTTTTGGTAGACTCCGATATAGCCTGTTGGAGGCAGTGCCAGGGCCCGAGGGTCGTGAGGCATTTTCACTGAACAGCTCAACAGGGGAACTGCGGGCACGGGTGCCTTTTGACTATGAGCACACAGGAAGCTTCCGGCTACTAGTGGGTGCTGCTGATGCTGGGAATCTCTCAGCCTCTGTCACTGTGTCAGTGCTGATTACTGGAGAAGATGAATATGACCCTGTATTCCTGGCTCCATCTTTCCATTTCCAAGTGCCAGAAGGTGCCCAGCGTGGCCACAGCCTGGGCCATGTGCAGGCCACAGATGAGGATGGAGGTGCCGATGGTCTGGTACTCTATTCGCTGGCTACCTCTTCCCCATATTTTGGTATCAACCAGACAACAGGTGCTTTGTACTTACGAGTGGACAGTCGGGCACCAGGAAGTGGAACAACCACCTCTGGGGGTGGGGGCCGGACCCGACGTGAAGCACCTCGGGAGTTAAGGCTGGAGGTAGTAGCAAGAGGGCCTCTGCCTGGATCCCGGAGTGCCACAGTGCCTGTGACTGTGGATATTACCCACACTGCTCTAGGCCTGGCACCTGACCTCAACTTGCTATTGGTTGGGGCTGTGGCAGCTTCTTTGGGAGTTGTAGTGGTGCTTGCTCTGGCAGCTCTGGTCCTGGGCCTTGTTCGGGCTCGAAGCCGCAAGGCTGAGGCAGCCCCTGGCCCGATGTCACAGACAGCACCCATAGCCAGTAGCTCTTTACAGAAACTGGGCCGGGAACCCCCCAGTCCACCACCCTCTGAGCATCTGTATCATCAGACTCTCCCCAGCTACGGTGGGCCAGGAGCTGGAGGTCCCTACCCTCGTGGTGGCTCCCTGGACCCTTCACATTCAAGTGGCCGAGGCTCAGCAGAGGCTGCAGAGGATGATGAGATCCGCATGATCAATGAGTTTCCCCGTGTGGCCAGTGTGGCCTCCTCCTTGGCTGCCCGAGGCCCTGACTCAGGCATCCAGCAGGATGCAGATGGATTGAGTGACACGTCTTGTGAGCCTCCTGCCCCTGACACCTGGTACAAGGGCAGAAAGGCAGGGTTGCTGCTGCCGGGTGCAGGAGCCACTCTGTACCGAGAGGAGGGGCCTCCAGCCACTGCTACAGCCTTCCTGGGGGGCTGTGGCCTGAGCCCTGCACCCACTGGGGACTATGGCTTCCCGGCAGATGGGAAGCCATGTGTTGCGGGAGCACTGACGGCCATTGTGGCTGGTGAGGAAGAGCTCCGTGGCAGCTATAACTGGGACTACCTGTTGAGCTGGTGCCCTCAGTTCCAGCCTCTGGCCAGTGTCTTCACAGAGATTGCTCGGCTCAAGGATGAAGCTCGTCCATGTCCTCCTGCTCCCCGTATTGACCCACCACCCCTCATCACTGCTGTGGCACACCCAGGAGCCAAGTCTGTTCCCCCAAAGCCTGCAAGCACAGCTGCAGCCCGGGCCATCTTCCCACCAGCCTCTCACCGCTCCCCTATCAGCCATGAAGGCTCGCTCTCCTCGGCTGCCATGTCCCCCAGCTTCTCACCCTCACTGTCTCCTTTGGCTGCTCGCTCTCCCGTTGTCTCACCATTCGGGGTAGCCCAGGGCCCCTCAGCTTCAGCACTCAGCACAGAGTCTGGCCTGGAGCCTCCTGATGACACAGAGCTGCGCATCTAGCTGTGGCCCTGACTGGGCCCCGACCTGGGACACGTCCAGTGTCCCCAAAGCAGGCCCCATTCTCAGCCTGCCCTGGGCAGCCTCAGACCATGACTGGCTATGGGGAGGCCACCACCAGTCCCCAGCTCTCCACCCCAAACTCTTATAGTTGGGACAGGTCCCACATTTCTCCACAGTCCCTTCAGCACTAGGACCACAGAGGGCCTGTTGGTCACTGACCTGTGGCAGATCCAGTGTGGAGAGGAATAAGAATGAGGCAACAGCCTTGGGTTCTCTTCAGCCAAGACTTCCTGCCCTGCACCAGCACCCTGCAATGGAGCTGAGACTTTATTTATTGGGGGGTAGGGGTATGGGGGAGGTCCCTCCAACCTATTTGGGCCCAGCTCTTTCGGGTTCTTCTGACATCCCTGCCCCTGCCCAGAACAAGTGCCAATTCTCACTCTGGAGCCTTAATAAACTGCAGTTTGTATCCAGCCTCTGGCTCTGTTCTGTCAGGGTAACCAAAAGTCACTGGCATCACAGTGTGGATACCTGGCACAGTAGCCAAGGAGGCCCAGAGGGAGGGTGCACATCAGGACATTGGGAGTCGGGTTGGCACTGGGAGCTCGGAAGCCTAGCCTTGGGATCTCTGCAGCTTTTCCCTCTAAGGAGGTCAGGACTTGACCTGCAGTGGTTTCCTGCAGAGACTGAGTTGGAAGCAGTCTAGAGTCCTAAGCCTGAGGGTCTGGAATAAGGTGTGGTGATTATTAAGAACAGGTAAGTGAAGAAATTCCCAACCCTACTCCCGCCCCCACAAAACACACACGTACACACACACCTTGGAACCATGAAATGTCCACATTCATACGAGCTCACATTAGTTGAGTCTTTGCCAGGTCAGTCTTGGCTCCATTTGCTTGCTTTATTGCAATGTCCATTTTTACTCCCAAGTATGAGGCACGTTGTTTTTATGTAACAGTCATTGAATTTTAAGTGAAGAAACCTAGGCTCTGAGAGCTTGTTTTTCTAATATTGTAGAGCCAGGAGCAGCCCATACCTACGGGCTTTAAAGCCTACTCCTTTGTGATTCCTGGAGAGACAGAGAGTCTTGGGCAGCAGGTGAGGAGGAGCCCTGAGCTTATAGAAGCTCAACACAGCATAGAATTCTAATAGCAGCCCCTGCATTTGGGAGGGAGGAGTCAGCAACGTCACTAGTTACTAGGCGGGGAGATGGGGGAGGTGCTAGACCTGCTCATGTGATTTATCACATGACTACAGATCAGCCTGAAGCCACAATGGGACTCCAAGCCGGGTGAGAAATTGAGGTGGGGAGGGTAGCTAAAGGGGATTACAGTAGAGGGATTACGTGTCGTAGAGGGAATACAGTGCGGGTTCCGCTCCTGATGGAACCCACCTGCTGTCCCTGCAGCCTCCTAGGGCTCCTTGCTCTCGTCATCGCCGGCAAATGCACTTACAGCCCTGAGCCGAACCAGCGGTGGATGTGAGTTGATTTAGTACTACAGGTGCCTTCTCCATACCTGTCTGCAGATGCTTGGTCCTAGCTTACCTCATCCTCACAACTGCTTCCAGTACTCACTGTAGCCTTATTCGCCACCCCCTCAGCTTAATCTCGGGTCATTTACCTCCTATGATCCTTATCTGCATCTAGGATTCCACCCGAAGTCTCAATTCTTAATCCCAAACTTTCCATGATCTGGATTTCCCATCTGTGGCCTAACCAAATCATGTCCCTGACCCTGTAGGCTGCCTCCAGGCTGGGTGTCCCTGGGCCGAGTGGATCCCGAGGAAGAGCTGAGTCTCACTTTTGCGCTGAAACAGCAGAACCTGGAAAAACTCTCGGAGCTGGTGCAGGCTGTGTCGGATCCCAGCTCTCCTCAATATGGTGCCTATCAGAAGTCGGGGCAGGAAGTGGGAGGCAGGACCAGACAGGCACTGGCTGGTGCAGATCTTGTAGGGCCATGTTTCTGGTATGACAGACAAATGACAGTAACTGCCACATTTATACACACACACCCCAAAATTTCCACCTGAGTTCTTCAGTCTAAAAACTAAGAGCAAATCTAGGCCTAGTTGCATGAGGTAATAATCCTAGCTACTTGGGTTAAAACAGGAAGTTTTTGAATTCAAGGCCTGCCTGGGCTGTGTAGCAAGATTGTCAAGATTTTTTTAAGAAAAAAAAATTTTTAGAACCTTAGCTAGCTTATTGATAGGGTGCTCACTGACCATATACAAAACCCTAGATTCAAGTGCCAGTAAGATGGTGGGGGTGGGATAGCTGTGTCTAAGAGCACATGATTTATAATCAGATCTAGATTGAAATGTTGACTTCTTCTGACCAGCTAGCAAATGGAGAACTAGCACTTAATGTGTGTATGTGATCATCAAATCATGGTCCTTCCCCTGATATCAAAGCTACTCCCACAGCTTTCTCTGTTGTTAGTTCAAGTCCTGAACTGTCTTTGGATTAATCCACTCTGGTCATCTCTCTTGCTACCCACTCAGTTGTTTATTCTCTTTCCTGGACTACTGCCCACCAGGCACCCTGACTGGTTTGAAGTTTCCTCTTTTGTCCCACTCCCCAGAACACTCCCCACGATATTCTAGAGCATTCTCTATGATGGTCAGGCTGGATTGAATCCTTCCCCTGCTTAAAGTCCTGTATGATGAGGCAAGGGTGTGTTTGTGTGTGTGAATAATGGAGGGGGGAGGGGGAGGGGCATCCTCAGATCACCCAAGAAGCTCCTCACATGCAGGAAAGAATGACTCACCGCTATGTTGTTTAAAATCAACAAGTATGAAGAGCTGAGCTAAATTAGAAGGTTCTGTATAATTGGCTCCAAAAGTTTGGGAAAATCTTTTTGAAGATAAACTTAAAATGGGACATTGAAAGTTTATTAACTTCCTTGAATTTTTTGTGACTGTGGCAATACATGCTGTGCATATTTCCTGGCCATGGCATTTCATGTCTTTTCAGCCTTTTTCTTCCCTTTGATTCCGAATATGCCTAGCCCCTACACAGTCCCCCTTGGGAAGTTTTGATGTCTTCTGATTGAGGTCCAAACAGACAACCCAGAAAGGCCTCAAATGAAGACGAGATCCTCTTCTGAATCCCTGCAGGAAAGTACCTAACCCTCCAGGATGTAGCTGAGCTGGTCCAGCCATCACCACTGACCCTCCGCACTGTCCAAAAGTGGCTCTCAGCAGCTGGAGCCCGGAACTGCCAGTCAGTGACCACCCAGGACTTTCTGACTTGTTGGCTGAGTGTCCGGTGAGAAGTAACGATTGCCCTATAGAATCCATTGTCCCACCAAGGAGACAAAATAACCCAAGTGGGGGAGTCTAGAGCTTGCTGAGAGCCTGTGGATATAGCTAATGCATAAGGAGACGATGACTGGCTACCAAATAAGTGGGACTCAGGCCAACTCCTCTACTCCTTTCCCATGGTTTCTGTTTTCTTACTTCCAGGCAGGCTGAGCTGCTGCTCCCCGGGGCTGAGTTTCATCGCTATGTAGGGGGACCTGCAAAGACCCATGTCATAAGGTCCCCACATCCCTACCAGCTTCCCCAGGCCTTGGCCCCTCATGTGGATTTTGGTAAACCCAATGGGGTTGGTGGAGATTGGGGGAGGCAGATCTATAGGCTTGGAGTCTTTCTGGTAGTGAAGTGGGTGGTAGTATCTGTAAGACCTCCTTAAGCCTGACCCCTTTCCACAGTGGGAGGGCTGCACCGTTTCCCCCCTTCATCATCTCTAAGACAACGTCCAGAACCACAAGGGGTAGAGACTGTTGGCCTGCACCTGGGAGTGACCCCCTCTGTGCTCCGTCATCGATACAACCTGACAGCCCGAGATGTGGGCTCTGGCACCACCAACAATAGCCAGGCCTGTGCCCAGGTGAGCCATGCAAAAAGCCCTGGGTCATCACAACCTCCTCAAGATATCTTTAGTGCCTCACTACCCTGGGCCTCACTCTCTGATCCACAATTCCTGATTTGAATGTTTCCACAGTTCCTGGAACAGTACTTCCGTAACTCGGATCTGACTGAGTTCATGCGCCTGTTTGGTGGCAGTTTTGCACACCATGCCTCGGTAGCAAAAGTGGTTGGAAAGCAGGGGCGAGGCCGAGCTGGGATTGAGGCCAGTCTAGATGTGGAATACCTGATGAGCGCTGGTGCCAACATCTCCACTTGGGTCTACAGTAGCCCTGGTATTGCTGAGAGAATTAGTTGGGGGATGGGAGAATGGGTTGGAGTAGACTGTTGATCTCTGCTTCATTTCACCATGGGCTGAAGGGAGATTCTAGCAACCATCCAATGGCCACTCGTATCCCTTCTTTTAAAACAACTTAGGCCGCCATGAGGCACAGGAGCCCTTCTTACAATGGCTCCTGCTTCTCAGCAATGAATCATCCTTGCCACATGTACACACTGTGAGTTACGGAGATGATGAAGACTCCCTCAGCAGCGTCTACATCCAGAGAGTCAACACTGAGTTCATGAAGGCTGCTGCTCGGGGCCTCACCCTCCTTTTTGCCTCAGGTAACCTTGTACCATAAATTTAAGACTTCCCAACTACCCAAGTGGCAGGATTTACCCCAACTGACCCTTCAGCCTGGTGTCTGACTCTTAATAGGAGCTCAGAGCCTTAACAGTGTGTACTGGCATGACCTGAGAACTCTGAGGTGGCATATACATTTCTTTTCTGGTATATATAAGCCTATACCTCAAGCTCTTCCCAACTAATCTGAATACTTAATATGTCTTTCCCAGGTGACTCTGGAGCTGGGTGTTGGTCTGTCTCCGGAAGGCACAAGTTCCGTCCTAGCTTCCCTGCTTCTAGGTAAATACCTCACTCTTTCACTTGTGACTCTGATGCCACCAGGAGCTGCTATGGCTCAGCCTTCAGCATTACCTGTTGTGTTTGCTGTGCTCCCTTTTCTTCCTGTATATCCCAGGCTTCGAGAGCAGGATATGGTGTTTCTTTTCCTTAGTTGCTAGAGTTTGTTTGTTTTTCATGTAGAAAAGTATACATAATTATCTCCAGCCATGTCTTGAAGGCTTCCAATCTATCAGTGAACTCTGTATACAGGCTTCCATGGTCTTACTTCCTTTTCCAGTAAGACCCAGACCATTCCCACCCACCTCCACACATCTTGGAGGCCACCCATTGTCTTAGTCAGGGTTTTATTGCTGCGATGAAACACCCTGACACAAAAAGCAAGTTGGGGAGGAAAGGGTTTATTTGGCTTATACTTCTAGATCACAGTCCATGATTGGAGGAAGTCAGGACGGAAACTCAAGCAGGGCAGGAACCTGGAAGCAGAAGCTGATGCCCATGGAGAGTGCTTATTACTGGCTTGCTTCCCATGGCTTGCTCAGCCTGCCTTCTTATAGAACCCAGGGATGTCACCATCCACAATGGGCTGGGCCCGCCCTCATTGATCACTAATTAAGAAAATATCCTACAGCTGGATCTCATGGAGGCATTTCCTCAACTGAACTTCCTTCGTCTCTGATGACTCTAGCTTGTGTCAAGTTGACACACAAAACCTACCAGTCAGTACACCCACTATCTGAATACTCTCTTCTCCTTAGCCCCTATGTCACTACAGTAGGAGGAACCTCCTTCAGGAATCCTTTCCTCATCACAAATGAAGTAGTTGACTTTATCAGTGGTGGAGGCTTCAGCAATGTTTTCCCACAGCCTTCCTACCAGGTTTGTGGATATTTATGTGGATGTATGGAGGTTGAGGGTGGGGGATGGGAGGGGGCCTGTCTTCAGTCCAGCGGCTTGCTGAGCAGGCTACTGGCCAATACTCACACTCAGAAATGTCCTTCAGGAGGAAGCAGTAGCCCAGTTCTTGAAATCCAGCTCTCGTCTACCACCATCTAGTTACTTCAACGCTAGTGGCCGTGCCTACCCAGATGTTGCCGCACTTTCCGATGGCTACTGGGTGGTCAGCAACATGGTCCCCGTTCCGTGGGTATCTGGAACCTCGGTGAGAATCAGCTTTGCTGTAAATCCTCTACTCAGGAACTACCCTTACTCCTCCACCTACAGAATCTTGAACCCAGAACCTCTGACTCTTTAGAGACTTCTGATCTTTGCCAGCATCATCCCTCAGAAGTTTGATCCCTCTAAAACCCCGACGTATTCTTGCCTCTTCATCTTGCAGGCCTCTACTCCAGTGTTTGGGGGAATTTTATCCTTGATAAATGAGCACAGACTCCTCAGTGGCCGTCCCCCTCTTGGCTTTCTCAACCCCAGGCTGTATCAGCAGCATGGGGCAGGACTCTTTGATGTGAGTATTGGAGGAAAGAGGGTGGATATTGTCATAGGATATGAGAAGGGCACGTTTGCTATATGTGATCGCCTCTGCGATATGAGTATAAACAAGATGCAGTGTAGGAGTACTGGTACCAGCAGGCCCAGATCTGATGCCAGCATTCCCTCCCAGGTAACCCATGGCTGCCATGAGTCCTGTCTGAATGAAGAAGTGGAGGGTCAGGGTTTCTGCTCTGGTCCTGGCTGGGATCCTGTGACAGGTTGGGGAACTCCCAACTTCCCAGCCCTACTGAAGACTCTACTCAACCCTTAACCCTTCTCTGCCCTGACGAGAAAACAGAACTGATTCCTGAACTAAAAGGGAAGGCTCAGTTTCTTGTTATTCCTCGATGGAAGCCCTGCTGAACTCTGTTTTCTGCTGCAGATAGCTTCTCCCTAACCCTCAAATGCTGTGGGCAGTACTCGACTTCCAGTCCTACTGTGTGGCATAAAACTCAGGTCTCCAAACTTCTACTTTGAGATCCTCAACAAGATGCTGTAACCAGCATATTTTGTCTCACCCCAACCCCATCTCTTCTTCCTCTTTCCAGCTTGAGATGTGAAAGCAGGGTGAGAAGGTTCAGTCTTCCGTTACTGACACTAGCAGGCCCATCCAAAGCTTACTATCTCTGCACTGACCGTATGCTCTGTTTCTCTTTGAGTTTGCTTTTCTGTTCACTGAGATGAGACCTTTGGCTAACCGTTTAGTATTTCTTGCTCTGGCACCAAAGTGCAATGGTCTCCCTGATGTTTTACCCAGTTACACACTTTTCAGGTTTGTTTTATGGGCTTTCTTGTTTGTTTGAAAACAGGTTGGCAGCAATCTATATAACTAGTCTAAGGAAAGTTGAAAACTTAAAATGTTTTAAATATGTTCTCATTGGCAAAATTCCTTAACAAAATAAATAGGTCATTACAAATTTTGCTTTAAATTTTGCTTCAGTGATTTTTTTTTGTAAATTGTTTTTAAATTTACATTTTATTTTCCCCTTCTCAGCTACACTAAAGCAACATTCAGGTTTTAATGTCAACTGTCAGACATCCACAAACATCTAGTTTCTGTGAACCTGGGTGTTTGCTCTTTCCATCAGTCTCCATTCATCCTTTTCTTCAGTAACCCCCTCTGACCACACTAATTGGCCTCCTTTTCTGCTAACTCCAGGGATACTGGTGTTCGTTGTTCCATCCTTAGTTTTTGCTCTTATTTTACTTCCATCCCTTGACAGATCACTGACATCTATACCCACAGTGATTGATACTTCAAATGTCAGATACCTCATTACTTCATCTCCCTCCAGCCCAGACCTAAACTATTTCATCTCTTAGTCTATGATATAATGCCTCTTTCAAACAAGCCAGAAACCTGTAACTCTTAGTTCTCATTTTTTTCACCTCCTTACTAACTTAAACAAGTTTTATTGACTACCTCTCTCATATATATATATGTATTTCAAGACAGGGTTTCCTCTGTATAAACCTGGCTGTCCTAGAACTCACTCTGTAGACCAGGCTGGCCTTGAACTCAGAAATCCACCTGCCTCTGCCTCCCAAGTGCTAGGATTAAAGGCGTGAGCCACCACTGCCTGGCTTCAAGTATATCTTTATCAGCTAGTGTGGTGATGCTCACCTTTAATCCCAGCGCTCAGGAGGCAGAGGCCAGGCAAGCCTCTGTGAGTTTGAGGCAAGCCAGGCCTACATATTGAGAACATGTCTCAAAAATACACACACATGCACAAAATACTACATTACCTTTGAGCCCATGTTCTTTTTCCTCTAACCTGCAGGAAGCTTTTGGGTAGAGGAGAGGCTTCTAAAGCCCCTCAACATCCTTGACCATGGGTAAGTCATCTTCCAAATCAAGCAGTATATTTGTGCAAACCCTTCAAACATTACTGGATAAAAGTCAGGGACATCGAAACCTGCCTTCATTGCTAATGTCTGACACTTGGAATTAAGCAGCTGATATTAGTTCCCCTTTGTTCCTTGCACTGCACCTACATGTCGGTGGGAAACAACCAGACAGTATTGAAATCGTCAATTTGTTCGCCTTCCTTTTCTAGATGATTGCTGCTAGTGTACTAGAATCTGATTCTTAACTTTATATTCCTGGGTCCCAGCCCAGTAGTTGGCAAGCAGAAATTAAATAAATGAATGTTGAATTGCAAATGTGCTTCACATATGACTTTGGCATGTTATTTCTTCAGGGTGAAACACCCGTCTCTACATTTACAGCAGTACACTCCTAGGGCCGTTGTGGGTGGGCGGGACACACACCAAATCCACTGCAACCCTTAAAAGACCGTGAAAGGAAACTACAAAGAATGAAGACTGTCAGGAGAGTGGTAATGAAGTGTCTGATGGACGAGTCCCCAAGCTGGGTCTATGAACCCAGATGAAGTGTGCAGTCCTGGATGCTCTGCGGCCCCACCCGGGCGGGGGAGGAGCCACATCTCACGTAGCTCTCCTCCGCCTTGCAGTCTACACCTAATCAGCCAACAGCCAACTTAAGGTCGCCCGCGGCAGCCTAGAATGGTGGGCGGGAACTGTAACGTCACGCAACGTGCGCCTGAGCGAGCGGAAGCGGAAGCGGCTCTGTTCGCCGCCTTTCCCACCGGCCCCATGAGCTGCAGCGGCTCCGGCGCGGACCCCGAGGTGGCGCCGGCCTGTGCCGCCTCGGTCGCGGGTCCGGCGCCCCCGGTGTCGGCTCCCGCTGCGCTGCCCACTAGCACGGCCGCGGAGAGCAAAGCCAGCCCCGCGGGGACAGCAGGGGGCCCCGGGGCTGGAGTCGCCACTGCGGGCACGGGCCCCGTGGCAGCACGGGCAGGGGAGCCGGCAGAGCGGCGCGGGCCAGGTGAGCGCCGGGCCGGGTGAGGGAGGAGGGGATCTGGGACTAGGTGCCGCGGCAGCGGAACCCCGCGCTTCTCACCTGTGTTGTTGATTCTCCTCCAGCTTCGGTGGCAGCGGGCGGCGCGGCTCCCCCTGAGGGGGCAATGTCTAACGGGGTTTACGCCCTACCGAGCGCGGCCAACGGAGAAGTGAAGCCCGTAGTGTCCAGCACACCTCTAGTGGACTTCTTGATGCAATTGGAGGATTACACACCTACGGTGGGCCTCCCACCTGAACAAGGCCACCGGCCTCTCTGTCATGCCTTTCAACCACACCTTCGTGCTTTCAAGTTTTCTCTGCTACGAAGCTCTTTATTTCTCCTTCCCACCCAGCGCATCAGTAGGCAGAGCTAATACTGACGGCTGTTTGATTTTATTTTTCAGATCCCGGATGCTGTGACTGGTTACTACCTGAACCGTGCTGGCTTTGAAGCTTCAGACCCACGCATGTGAGTAAACTCAGAGCAGCTTGGACTGTAGAGTGCTGGAGTTTGCTAAGTAATCTCATTACCACCACCCCCTTCCTCTCTAGAATTCGGCTCATCTCACTAGCTGCCCAGAAATTCATCTCAGATATTGCCAATGATGCCCTACAACACTGCAAAATGAAGGGTACAGCCTCTGGCAGCTCCCGGAGCAAGAGCAAGGTGTGAGAGGCTCACCTTCCACAGCAGTACAGGCCTGACTTATCCTGAAAGCCCTCTGGGGAAGCAGCATCCTAGGGGAGGTATTGGGCCTACTCAGGTTCACCCACAAAGGACTGGAATCTGGACTTGCTGTGCTCAGCTGGTGGTCTTCCCTCTTTCCCCCAGGACCGCAAGTACACCCTAACCATGGAGGACTTGACCCCTGCCCTCAGCGAGTATGGCATCAATGTGAAGAAGCCGCACTACTTCACCTGAGCCACCCAACCCAGATGTATTTGTCTTTCCTTCTGTCTGCACAGGAGCCTGTTTTCATAATAAACTTTATTGTGACAGGCGGGGCTGATCCCTCCCATGTTGGGAGACATCCTGTGGCAAGTGACAAAGCTCTGAGCCCAGCCCCTTTTGGGGCTACAGTGGTAGGGATGGGAGCAGGGAACAAGCCCCATAACTGGGGTAGTACCATGATTAGAGACAGGGGAGGCAACCAAAGGCCTTTAGCTTAGGGGAAGTACACTCCCCACGCCATGTTTTGACACTTCTTTAGTTTGGACAAGGACCTTCAAGTCCTACTTGTCCTGCATCTTCTCCAAGATAGGCACAATCATGTCAAACTTGGGTCGCTTTGCAGGGTCTTCATTCATGCAAATCTTCATGAGCTTACACACATGGGGGGAAATGCCTGGTGGGATGGTAGGCCGAAGGCCTTCCAGTGCCACCTGCAAATTGTAAGGAACAAGGTGAGCTTCAGAATTTGAGTTTATCATATGTGCAAAAGCCTTTGACCCTTGAGTGGTAAGATTACTAGTTATCTGTATAAACTGCGGGAAGAGTTTACCATAGTGACTGTCAGCACCACCACCCCTATACAAGTATCTACAGATCTATGCTCACCTTCATTCCAATTTCCATATTAGAGAGGTCAGCAAAGGGCACCTCTCGTGTTACCAGTTCCCACAGAAGCACTGCAAAACTCCACATATCAGCCGAGCGTCTGTTTGTGTCTTCAGGCTTCTTTTGCAGGGCTAGAAGGAATAAGGTTTATTACTCCAGCTGCCTAGCCTGTCTAGTCTGTGCCTCTTTTACTGTTACTGAGCTGGTTCTTCTCAATTTCCCATATGATGCCTTTACCTACCTTCAGGGGCCACCCAGGCAGGCGCATACATGCGCCCAGGGCACTGGAAAGAAAACTTAACATCAGCCATGCTGATTCGGGCAGTCATGTCTTCATCGATCTGAGGAAGAAAAGTTGAATTCAAAAAGGTGGGTTATATTCTAGACCAGCAAAAGGGCTTTGGGGACCAGAAGTAAACTGTGGTCTCACCATTACACTGCGGCTATTGAGTGCGTGCCGAGGTATGAGAGGCTCTAGTGTGTGAAGAAAAGCCATGCCTCTTGCCATGTCCAAAGCAAACTTCACAGCTTGGCTCTGGTCCACAACAAAATCTAACAGGAAGCAAGAATCATTAGTTTATAGTCTCCAGGCCCTATTCTAGTCCCTCCCCAACAAGACCAACATCCTTACTGGTGCCTTCGTGTAGAACGTTGTAGAGAGACCCATACGGCATCCAGTGTGTGATGAGGGTTGGGTGGGGAGCTGGGGGAGCCTGGCAAGCACCTAGTACTGGCAGCACATTTGGATGTGAGAAAATCCTGGGAGAGGAAAAGAGTGGTGAGACCCAACAGCGTTTCACTTTTCAGTACTATTTGGGGTTCCTTGGAAACAACAGCTTCCAATTCAGGTGACCCACCTGAGCCTGGGACATTCCTCATTGAAGTCCCTGCTTTTCCTTGTACTCCAGTCTCGAACCTTCAGCACCTTCACAACAATATCATTGCCCTGCCAGCGGCCTTTCCATAGCTGAAGGACAGAGGTTAGGAAGCATTAGCTCAGGCTGTACCATTTCTTTTCTACTAATTTGAAGAAAACCTTAATTAGGGATACAGAGTGGGCAGTTTGTGGGTGTTAGGGAGAAAAAAAAAAAAGAGTGGGGAATCACCTCTCCAGAGTGATTCTCGTTGAGCTTTGCCAAAAAGTTGAGCTGTTTGAAGTCAATACCGGAGTGTTTGTTCAGGGTCCCATTTCCTGAGAATATGAGCAGTTCAGGTACTCACCTTCACTTTAACATGACCCCAATAGCCCAGGAATCTTGTGTTGCGGCCCCTCCCCTCCACAGTAGTGACTCACGGGGCCTTGTGCGAGTGGTCCCCTTCCAGAATGTGTCCTTGTATGGAATACGGTTGAGATTCTGGCCCATCTTCTCTGCCCGCTCTAGAGAAGAAGAATGGTCTTAGCCTTAATTGTGCTATGAAGGGAGGAGATGCAAGGTGGGACAAGAGGCAAGCTGGGGTAGATAATGAACCTCGGAGAAGCTCTCTGAGGGGTGCCTTGGCTTTGTCCACAGGCATCTCTCCATACTTGTTGCAGATGCTCACAAGAGCCCCGTTAGCCACCAGGTCCTGAAAAGAAAATTGTTCAGGGGGCCAGTCACAAACAAGCATGAACACACAGATGCAGTACACGATTCTGTAAATGTCACACAGTAGGACTGAGAATGGATTGATGGTTCCATGATCAGTTTGCTTCCCACTCATCATAGGACTTGGGGTCTGAGTACTTACCTCTGCCACCTGGTCTTGGCCCCAGAAACACGCATAGTGAAGGGGCACATTGCCATGCTCATTCACTGCATTGATGTCAGCCTTGTATTGCAACAGCTGCGCCCCATGGCCAAGAAAAGAAAAAAGGCAGTCAGTCCCTCTGAAATACTTGTGTCCAGAAAGAAAAGAACACAAAGGAAGAATAGCATACATTCTTCACATGACAGTGCCTGTTACTGGCTTCATAGTGTGTATGTGAGATGTGGGTGTTGAAAGGTTTGCAAGTACCTTCTGTACAATGTCACGGTGTCCATGACTAGCTGCCAGATGCAGGGGGGTATCATCCCCACGGTTCATCACATTGATCCGTGCTCCCCGCATGATCAGCATTTCAACCACTGCAGAGCGGCCTTCTCGGCAGGCCCAGTGTAAGGGGGAGAAGCCATGATCATCCCTTTGAGAAAAGGACATAGACACTAAGCTGGAGTTGGGAAGGACAAAAGCGTTGACTCATGGGGGAAAAGATTCTATAGTCACTGAGAAGGCTTGCCTCTTTAGGACTTAGCTCCTACTCATGTTGCCAATTCCTAAAGTTCAGATTTTCCCTTGAGCTGCACACCCAATCACCTAGATGTCCCAGCAACTGTAAGGGTTATCACTTTAACCATAACTCTTTCCCTAGCAGTACTCTGTTAGGTGATAGTACTACTCTTCCTGGGTCCTCTGGCTTCCCTACCTCTTTGTCTTCCTGTTTGGTAGTGCTAAGAACCATACCCAGGACCTCATATACTTGACACATGCTATACCACTAGGCTTTATCTCCAGTCATACATCTTTAATAACACCTATAATCCTTTGTTTGCATTGCTTTTTGTGCTTTATTTCCTTACTGTAGAGTTACACTGACTGGATTGTAAGAACCTGTTAATGTGAGCTGTCTTGCCTGTTGAGTCATATATGCTTGAGGATGGGCTGAAAGCTGATGTTCTATGCAGGTTGATAGGGGAGAAAGCATACTAGAGAAGACAGGCTATAACTTAGGAGAGGAGACGAGCTTACTTTTGGCTCTGTTATTGAAACTAACATCTAAAAATGGAATGGAATTAAAATGTTTTGGAGGGGTACAATGACAAACATGCTTTTGATTACTGATGAGGCAGATAACCACACAAACCAGAATGTTCCTATTTACCAACCCAAAATTCACAGAGAAAAATGCAAATGGAAGCTTTTGAATAAAAACTGTATCTGATTTATATTTTCATCCTTTGAGGACATATATTTTATAAAGAGAAGTGTACAAACAAAACAACTGGATGGGCTGGGTCAAACTGACAGCCTGGAGCCATAAAAGGAAATTCCCTCCAGCCTTGGGATGCAGATCTGAGGGGCGGAACAGGGGGCGGTCTGTGGTCTAGGCCTGCAGACTCCAGATGCTTTAGTGCTGTGGTCACTTCCTGTGAGGGGAGCTGATCCTGGTTTGGTCACCCAGAATCCCTCAACAGCTGAAGGAGTATGTAGTTTTAAATTACTGTTCCTCTAGTTTGCTCTCATCTGTTAAACTTGCTATCAGTCTTGCCTCCCAGATTTCACGTGTCCTGACAGAAAAACTTCCAGAAGTCTGTGGCCTCAGAATAAGCCCAAGCTTGAGGACAAATGTAAATGTTTTTCCCACTTTCATCTCAGGGCCTGGATTTCTATCTCAAGAAAGCCTTCAGGGAGTTAGCCACTTCCAGCACCCAAGCCCTGTCCCCTCAAGCCACCATAGCTTTCTGCTTTCCCTAATGATACCCTTCACCTTTTGACAGCAAGGAGTCTTCCAAGCCACTCCCACTGGACAACAGCCTAAACTTATATTTTCTTACCAATAAAACAGGACAGCTTAGTGTTTACCAGAGCACACAAGTTATGTGAAAAAAAATGAAACAAATAACTTTGAATATAACAGAGAAATAACACAACCTAATGGAAGCTGGTGAAACCTGGCCTAGGATGACAGATGAACCTTTCCAACCTAAAAAAAAAGTACACTCTTCTAATCAGATACAGTGGCAACAAATGGAAATCCCAGCACTCAGGAGGCTGAGGCAGTAGGATGGAGAGCTGTAGGCAATTCTGAACTACATGACACCCTGTCTCCAAAAGCAAACCTAAACTACCTACTAAACTCCCCCAACACTGCATTTCTTGCTTTCATCTACCAGTCAACATTTTAGAAAGTGTTCACATTATCTGTTTCCTCACTTCCCGTTCACTTTTCTCCCTGACAGAAGCCTGCCATCTCTAGGGTGTAGATTATGTCTAATTCAAAGACTCTAGCACCGACCACAAGTGGTGTTCCTTATTTGAAGAAACCCAGTGTAATGCAGTTTCCTGGTACTTATCTGCAATAGCATTCAAAAGATCAAATACATCCTAAATGAAAGTTAAATGAAGACTTTTAAAATGCTCATCCATGCTCTTTAACTTCTCAGTAGCCTACAATTAACCATTCTTCTTTCTAATCTTAATCCATTTCTTATTTCTCCTTCAGATGGTTGTTCCCTGTCAGCCAGGCTTCTCAACCTCTGCCTTTATTTTCTATTCTTCTGAGGTACTATTTTCCACATAAATGAATCTTCAGGTACCATTTAAATGCTAATTTGTGGTATCTTGGTCTCCCAATCAGACCTCTCCTGAACTTCAAATCTGCATGATCAACAACCTGCCAAGCATTTTCAAGTCACTGTAGTGTCAGTCCATAATGGAACATCTGCCAAGTATCCAAATACCCAAACCTAAACCTCAGGTCATCTTTGACAACCCCCTTTCACTTCCCATACCACCTCAATTACTTCATCCTTATGACTTTAGGGCTCTCACCCTTAACCCTGTCCCAATTCTTGTATCCAAAACATTATTTTAAGGCAATTACATCCAGGGTGACGCCTGACAAATAGGCAGTCTCATCACTACACAGCTTCAGAACTTTAGACTTCTAATGTCCTTTTCCACTTCGACCCAACGCTCTAGGGCGCAGAAACTCATCCTCCAACCACATGTAATTCCAGACAATTTTCTGGCACTCTAGTCTGCTTTTGACACAAGTTCATAGAGCCTGCAAGTTCCCGATTGTGAAACTTAGTTAAAAAAAAAAAACCCTCAGACAGGTTCCTCTGTGTAGACCCTCTTCCATCAACAGGCTTTGCTTGTCAGTATTCCTTACACTGGATAGCAAAGTCAGCTGCCCTCGCCCGACAAGAGCACCCCAAGTAGCGGAGAGTGGACTTCTAGGCGTCCTCTCGCACAACGCTTCAGCTCACCCCTGATTGAGGTCGTTCTCTGTGTTGTCCAGCCACAAGCGCACCGCCACCGCGTTGCCCTCCCGGCACTGAGTGAAAATGTCGTCCATAGCAGCGTCCCGGCACTGAGACCCCGGGACTGGGGAAGCCTCGGGGGACTGCGGGAGAACAGAGACAAGAGAATGACTCTAGAATCTCTGTTCCCTCAGGACAGAGGTGTCAGTGCTGGGATGGGGAGCGTCGCGAGAGGGACAGTGGTTCTCTGTGAAGGGCTTCGGGCAGCGGACGACCCCTGGGCTCGAGGAGCAGGAGGATCTGGAGGTGTAGGGTAGACTTTGCTAGTTTCCTGAGTTGGCGTCTGCCGGCTCCGAGTACTGGCCCTCGAGCACGGCTTGGGGGGAGGGGAGGGGCCCAAGCTGCAAACACCCGGGGGAGGGGGCAGGGGTCCTTGCCGGGCAGCCCCGGCTCAGAACTGCTGCAGAGATCGCAGAGACTGGTTTGCAAGACCAGCGTGGGGCAGGGCGCGGAGTTACTCGCACTCACCGGGACTCGGGCCGCAGGCGCCTTCTCGGGGGAACTCCCGTCCGGCCGCGCCCGCCGCCCGGCCCCGCCCCGGCCCTCTCCGGCCAGAGCGGGCGGCGGTCCCTCCCTTCCGACCTCCTACTGCCTCTCTAGCTCGCCAGCGGCTACACTCGTTGGTTCTTCGCTCCGCGCCGGCCGCTCTAGCTACCACAGAGTTTCACTCGGTGGCTTCCGGCCGGGTGTGGGCTGGCTCCAGCGGTAGGAGTCCCTGACGCGCGCTGCACGTGGGCTCCTCCGGCCCTGCGGGCCACCGGTATGTTCGAAGAGCCTGAATGGGTCGGGGCGGCTCCAGCCATCATGGGCCTAGGGCCCGCGACAGCACAGGTTCGGCCGGCGACTGCCCCACCAGTTAAGGTGAGCGGCCCTGCACTGGGCTGTTTTAAGGAGGCGAAACTGACCCTCCCGGGGTCGTGTTGGGTAGAGGGAGAACCTGAAATGTTATCGTGGATCCGGGTTGTGAGGGAGTTAGTCATGATCTGAAGATCCGGATAGTCCAGATAGGAATGCGGGATTCGGAGTGTGGAGCGCAGAGCTTGAAAAGTTAAATAAGTTTTTTGTACACTAAGGGTGGAAATCAGTGGAGTTGTTTTAGCAGTGGAGTGGTTTCTCCAAGTTTTCTCTCACCTGGCATCACTTTATATACTTTAGATCGATTCCAGGGCTTCACCATGGTAGACAGGCATTTATTACTGAGCTGAATCCGTAGCCTTGAAAGGGTTTTTAGTTGCAGTGTAGAAAGTATATTAGAGAGAATCAAGGCAGGTGACAGGGAAGATTATCAGAATCACTATTCAGTGGAGGCTCAAGGAACCCAGAACCTCTAAGGTAAGGGTCTGACTGAGGATCAGCAGCAGGGCTTGAACCCCAAATCAGCTTCATGTAGAACAAGCCTTTTCCTTTGAGCCTCATCAGATGTGAGGATTTCTGTATCCCCTTAGGGTGTTCCTGACCTTCAGTCAGCCCTGGATGATCTGTTCATTTCTGTAGTCTATTTCTGCTTGTCTGTGTGCAGCTTCTCCCCAAAAGGCTATTCTCTCTACTGCAGTTAGAGACATCTTTAATGGACATGTGTGATGCTATCTTTCCTGTTTCAAAACAAAAAACAAACCTCTGCTGCTCCTAGAATGCTATTGGTGGGAGGCAAAGATGGCTACTGTCTTGCCTTGGTCCTGTTTGTGTGCTTAACACATTCCTCTAAGGAAATCAGCGGACAATACTTTACACATTTAGAAAAGTAGGATGGGAACATTTTTTGCCCTCCAGCTTCCCAGAGGTTGGGATTGCAGCCTGAAAGTTCTGGGCTTGGCCAGCTTCACAACAAATGCATTAACTTTGGCTGGGAAGAACCACCAGTAGCTGAAGCCCATCTCTCCTTTCTTAACCTCTAGGCTTCATCCATATTCATATTCATATTCTCTCTCTCTCTCTCTCTCTCTCTCTCTCTCTCTCTCTCTCTCTCTCTCTCTCTCTCTCTCCTATCCCTTGTTTGCTTCCAGGGCCGCAAGCGCCGCCATCTCTTGGCCACATTACGGGCCCTGGAAGCAGCATCTCTCTCCCACCAATCCCCCAGCCTACCTGGCAGTGACTCTGAGGAGGAGGAAGACGTAGGAAGGAAGAAGAGACACCTCCAAAGGCCCTCGCTTGCCAGCATCTCAAAGGAAGTAGTGAAGAAAAGAAAAGGGAAATGTGAAAAACAGGCGCCATCAGTCAGTGACTCTGAGGGGAAAGAAGTAGGAAGAAAATGCCACAGACAAGCTCCTCCTCTTGGTGGGATCTCTGCTGGAGAAGAAAAAGGAAAGAGGAAATACCAGGAATACTCCTCTTTACATCTAACCCAGCCCCTGGACAGTGTTGACCAAACAGGTACCAGTATATGTTAATATGGGGGCGGGTGCCTATTACCTGACTGCATAGATGACAAAGGTCTCTCTTTCTTTCTTTCTTTTCTTTTTTTTTTTTTTTTTTTTTTTTTTTGGTGTTTCAAGACAGGGTTTCTCTGTGTAGCCCTGGCTGTCCTGGAACTCTCTCTGTAGACCAGGCTGGCCTCAAACTCAGAAATCTGCCTGCCTCTGCCTCCCAAGTGCTGAGATTAAAGAAGTGTGCCACCACTGCCTGGCCAAGGTCTCCCTTTCTTTTGCATACACACATACACACACACACCATGGCCTGGATGGTAAGAGGCACTTTTATCCAGGCTGCAGACTTTGTCTTAAGGACAAGAGGGTAGCCAGGATGACTTGCTATGCCTCAGAATTTAGGGGATCAAGCCTCAAATGCCTTCACATCTCCTTCTCTGCAGTTCACAATTTGAGGACGAGTACTGCTACAATTGACCCACCTAAGCCAAGCCCTGAGTCTACATCACCTAACTCCTCACACACCTTGAGCCGCAAGCAGTGGCGGAATCGGCAGAAAAATAAGCGGAGACACAAGAACAAATTTCGACCACTTCAGACACCAGACCAGGTTCCCTCCAAGGCTTCCATAGAGGAGACTGAAGTACCTCCTGCTCCAAAGTCAGACAGTCAAGAGACTAGAGCTGGAGCCCTGCGAGCACGGATGACACAACGCCTGGATGGGGCCCGATTTCGCTACCTTAATGAACGGTTGTACTCAGGGCCCAGCAGTGCTGCCCAACGCCTATTCCAGGAAGACCCTGAGGCTTTTCTCCTTTATCACCGTGGCTTTCAGAGACAAGTAAAGAAGTGGCCACTGCACCCGGTGGACCGTATTGCCAAAGATCTCCGCCAGAAGTAATGGAGGGGTGGGAGGTGCTGTGGACTAGGAGAGGGTGGTGTTGGTGATCAAGACTTTGACCAGACCAGTAAGTGACCCGCCCCTCCCTTCCACTCCCAGGCCTGCGTCCTTAGTGGTAGCTGACTTTGGCTGTGGAGATTGCCGCCTAGCTTCAAGTGTCCGCAACCCTGTGCACTGTTTTGATTTGGCTTCTCTGGACCCTAGGGTCACTGTATGTGACATGGCCCGGGTAAGCCACTCTGTATATGGCCTAATCGTTCTTTCTGGTCTTCCCATCTGATTTTCAAGTTCAAGTATTTGGTGCTGAATTTCCTCTTCCAACACTGTGTGCTCCATTTAACATTCTTCCTCATCAGGTACCTCTAGAGGATGAATCTGTGGACGTGGCTGTGTTTTGCCTTTCACTAATGGGAACTAACATCAGGGACTTCCTTGAGGAGGCAAATCGAGTGCTAAAGCCAGGGTAAGTCTCTAGAACACAGGTGATTTTGACGTACGTACATGTGTCTACACCTTTACACATGACTTCCTCCTTTTCCCAGGGGTCTTCTCAAAGTAGCTGAAGTCAGCAGCCGCTTTGAAGATACTCGGACCTTTTTGGGGGCTGTGACCAAACTCGGCTTTAAGGTTATCTACAAGGTGAGGGGGTCCCCAAGAAGTCTGCCCTTGTTCTTAACCTTTTTCGGAAAATGGTGTTCAGGAAGGAGGCTGTAAAACAGACTGGCGTTTTGCTTTTTCAAGACAAAGCTCTGGAAGAAGCTATGAGACGCTCTCCGAGCAGGAGATGCTCTCTGAGCCGGGGAAACACTGAGACATGAGGTTGGAGTAGAGATTTGTAACTCATTGCTATTCTTTGCTCCTAGGACCTGACCAACAGCCACTTCTTCTTGTTTGACTTTGAAAAAACTGGACCTCCTCGAGTAGGACCCAAAGCCCAACTTTCAGGCCTTAAACTTCAGCCTTGTCTCTACAAGCGCAGGTGACCAGTGGACACCCATTGAAAGGGGAGAGCTCGGACTCCAATCTCAGAACTCTGAAGACTGTACCTACCCAGGCTATGAGGCAGGATCTGATACATCACACCCTCCTTCTATTCTTACACAGAAGTAGTAAAGCCCACAGAAGGGTAAAGCCTCCAGCTCAGCTCCACTCTAATGGAGCTCTCTTGGCTACAGAGAGCATGAAATTACTTGGGCAGGCTCAAGAATGAGGTGTTTATTGTGAGGGTATAGATGGGTCTGGTAATTGTCGGCCTCTTCAGGTATCGTGGAAACTAGTCATCTGAGAATTGATAGCTCTCTGGGTTTGGTTTGTCTTCATCTCTCAGAAGGCATGTGGGCTCTCTGCTGTGTTGTCTTCTGACCTGTATTGTCCACCTCTACTCAGCCATAGTTTCTGCTCCTTCAGCTTCAAGACTGCAGACTTGGGGCTGGGAGTTATTTAATTTCTTTGTTTCTTAGATCTGGGAATCATTTAATTTTTTTCTGTGTTGTTGTTTGTTGTTGTTGTTTTGAGACAGCATCTCACACTAGTCCAGGCTGACCTCAAACAAAACAAATGGCAATCCTCCTGCCTCAGCCTCCTGATTATTGGGATCACAGGCATGAGCCACCATATTCAGTTTAAGAAATCATTTACTTTCTGAATATTCCATTTCTCATTTGAAAAACGTGAAATCTTGTCTTACAGTGTGTTGTATGGGTTCACTGAGGAAAGCTAGAGCTGGGACTAGTAGGAGGTGCTGAATAAACAAGCTGTGGCTATTGTGTCTTGTTGATCTTACTGTTCTTTAATAAGCACCCCTAAGCAGGCTTAGAGATCGAAGAGTAAGTAATTTAGATGTGCCCGAAGAAGATTGGGAGAGTTTGATAAAGGCATGTAAACAAGCTTATTTGCTATTTAGAGACTTAGTGCATTTGAAGCTTTCCTTGCTTGGAAGGGGGTAATAAAGAAGCTGGATCTCTGTTCAGTAGCAAATGGGCTGCTCATTGGCAAAGTCTGGCCATGGTACCTACCTTTCATGTCCTAGGAAAACTACAAGTACTAAATATATATAAGTTCTTAAAGTAGTGCTGAGGGAAGGTGAGCTAGGCTGGCATGCTGAGCTCATTGAGGAGGTATCTGCCTTGAATCCAGGTATATAGGCTTGTTTATAAATTCCTGAGAATAAGACCCGGGAGATCCCTCCAGGAGCAAATAGGTCTCAGGACTCTGAACCAGTTAGATGTCTCTAGCCTAAAGGAATAAAGGTTTTGAAAAATCCCAGAAGGCATGTTTGGAAGCTGGACTATGAGGCCAACCTTAGTCCACACCATACAGTATCTTTGCATGTGGTATTGCTGCTGAACATGCATTTTGCTACCAAAGTTTACTCATCTTCCCAAGTAGCTTAACAGAGTCATAAGCCCCGTCCCCCAAAGCATCTATATTCCCAACATACTGTCTGCAAACTGTTTCTTAGCATTCAAGTACTATGTTGTGGGTGTTTTGTACGTTTCACTGCAGACTTCTCAAGCCATATTTATTTTTCTATTTCCAGAGTTTGTTGACTTTTTTACTTGTGTGTGTGGTGAGTGGTATAAAGGAGTAACAGTTAACTAAAATTGATATAATAGGACTGTTGTAGAAGCCAGGTCTGGGCTTGGGTGCTGTGAGCTAGGGCTGGAAAGGGGATGCCAGCAGGAGAGCCTCAAGATAGACTTGGTGGGATGTAGAGGGTGTTTGAGAGAAAAGAAGCTGCAGTGAACAGGACATGCTGGTGTGGCCACTCTGAATGTTGAGTTTGAGGTCTGAGGAGAATCAGTGGCTAAGAGTATTATTATACAAGCCTGAAGGTCTGAGTTCAGAGCCTTAGCACCCATATAAAAGCCGAGGAGGGTTGGAATGGTGACAGATGGAGACAGAATGCTGACTGGCCTAGTAGGCCAGCCAACTTTCCTGAACAATGGTGAGCCCCAGATCCAGTAAGAACCTGTCTCCAAATAATAAGGTAGAATGATAGAGCATGGAACTTGATGTCCTCAGGCTTCTACACCTACACTTGCATATGCATATACAGTATACCTAGCTTAAAAGACGGGAGGCTTGTATGGCCAGTACAGGTTGCAGATAGGAGAAGAATATTAAGGGTTAATGGGAAGGGTTAACTGAAAGACAGTGACTTTCAAACTTTAGGGGACTAGAGTCCTCTACAAGGATCATTAAAATGCTGCATTCCAAACCTTCCTACATTTTCTAGTTCTCTAGATCTGAGTAGGGCCCTAGGAATTTTTTCTGATGGCTTTGGGTTTTCTCCTTGAAAGAGGAAACAAAACTTTATTTATTGAAAGTAAAAGTTAGTGGGAAGAGGATTGGGATTTTGAGGAGAGGAAAATGAAGATTACTTTGAGATTAGAAGAGAGTGAGTGATGGCTGGGTGTGGGGGGCACACCTCTAATCTCAGCCGGAAGTAGAGGCAGGTGGAGCTCTGTGAGCCTGAGGCCAGCCTGGACTACATAGTTCCAGGCCAGCCAAGGAGTATACAGTTAGACCCTGAACTGAGGAAATACCATAGAAGTGTTGGCAGTGTTAATAACAATGAGAGGGTGGGGCACAGTTCAGTGTCTCAGTGTCGTGTCAGAAGCTTGTTACTTCCCCTTACTACTGGTCTATTAGAACCTTGCCCCTGTTTGTAGGGAAGGGGAGAGAGTCAGGTTTCTGATCACAGTTCTAACTAAGGGCTACTAGGACCATTTGAGAAGCATGAGACATTCACATATTACTTTTATTCCTACCACTGAAGAATGATGAGCCTACTCCTGCCCTGGAAAAATACAGGGCAAGGAAAAGTTCACTGGCTGTTTGGACGGTGTGGCACTGGCTTGTGTTTCCAGAATGTGGGACAATAGCACCTGAGCGTCTTCTGTGCATCTTGTGGTAAGTATAAGGTAGGCTTGGGTCCTGTCCTGTGGGGCCATTTTAAAGAGATAAAGAGACTTCATAGCAAGCAGCAAGACGTCAGCCATTTGGGCTGATGGAGCAGTTTCAGGAGACCACCCAGAATAGTGCAGTATCCATCAGAGACTAATGGGATTTCCCTTTTGGATGTCCACCAGGCCTGTTGGTCACAGAATCAACCAGTCAAACCGGACTTATATTTCCTTGCCTCTTCTTGTTAGCATTTGTGCATGGAATAGTCAGCAAGGTCTATTAGAACCTTGAGCTGATCACAGAACTGTACTTAACTAAGAACATCACAGTGGGCCTGAACAGATGTTTCTGTGATTGGGAGCAATGGTTGCTCTTACAAAGGACCCAGGTTCAAGTCTCAGTACCAACAAGGTGGCCCATAACCATCTAGTCCTTGGGATACCCATGCCCTCTTTGGCTTCTGGGCACAGTAGACATGCATGTGGTTCACAGATGCAGGCAAAACTCATAAAACAAAGTAAAAAGAAAGTCCTTACAGGCTTGCTGCAACTTTTCTCCACAGCAGAAAAAGAATAACCCTACTCTTTGAGAGCTATAGGAGACAAGAATGAAGTTGGGTATGGATATCAATCCTGATCTGGTGCATGTTCAATATCCCTTCAGAGCTCTCTGAGCAGAGTGTTCTTGCTTCTGCAATTATTCATGTGCTCCTAATTTTGTTCCTGTAACACAGTCCTAAGAGAGAACACTGTTCCAAAAGAAGCAGTGTGATCTTGGCAGAGGCAGCTCAGCTCCAAGCACTCACCAGTTACGTCATTACACAAAGCCCTATGCAGCTTTTCACAGAATAGCAATTAGAGCCTTTCATTTCCAGGTCCTCTGCCTTCCCAGGTGAGTTCTCTAACTAGCCACGTGGTTCTAGGACTTTCGCCTACCAGTGATTGCTATGGGGATCTAATTGTCTTTGCTCCCCAAGCAATTCATTTTCCTTACTGCCAAGTGATCTTTATGAAATGTAAATCAGATGTCACTTCTTTACATAAAATTCTTCAATGGATTCTCATTGCTTGAGAACAAAAGACAAACTCCTTCCCAGGCCCTGTGTGATCTTACCCACTCATTGTTCTGCTGGCCAACTGCAATTTAACTCACTCTTCTCAATATTCCTGCCTGAGCTTGCTATTCATTCATAATGCACTCCAAGCTCTCTTCTAAACATGCCCCTCCAACTTTGTACAATATTTTTTCCTGGGGTAGAAATTCCCCCAGTGCCCTCTTTCTGAACTTACAGTTAAACTGTATTTTTTAGCCCTGTGCCTTAGGCAGGCCATGTAACTAATAGATTGTATGGGTGATGTTTTCATACCAGACAAAGAAAGTAAAAGGTAGATCAGCTGTTTCCACTTTCTCCCAGTCTCTCCCCTACCTAAGAAGGAGACCTTGAAGGACAGGTTTTGAAAGTGATGAAGTCATGAACAAGAAGTTTGGCTATTTTAGGAGAAAATTGGACTCTGAAACAGAATTAAAACCCTTATAATGAATGTGAGCAAGTTACAGCAGTTAGCATTACCCACCCTGGATATGTCTTACCACCTTACCACAAAACCCTGTTTCCTTTACGGTGCTTTAGCATCTTAGCAGATGCCACTGTGTGTTTTCTAATCGTCCTACTTTAAAGATTTAATTTTAAATTCCATGTCTGTGGCCTGTTAGGCATGTGTGAGTGCAGTGGCTGGAGCTGGAGTTGGAGGCAGTTGTGAGCTGGCTGATAAGGGTGTAGAAAACAACATGGACCCTCTGCAAGACAGGTACTCTTAACTCCAGAGCTGTCTTTCCAACCCATGATCCTACTTTTAAATGAAGAAAAAAAAATAATGCTCACAATCAGAAAAGAAATTTTTATCAATTATTTATGACTGAAAGAAGATCCTACTGTTTTAAACATTTTTTTTCCTAATATAACAAAGGACCTGAAGGTTGGTGACTTGGCTTTTGGTTTAGGAGCTCAAGAGTGTTAGGAGTAAAAGCTTCGTGATTTTGTGATTCTCTTGGTGTCTTAATTCTCTGAGTCACAAGATGCAGGTTTAACTAAGCAGACACCTTGCTTATTAGGCTTCTTGGAAGTCTCTCCAATTGCTGCAGCCTTTTCTTTTTGGTTTCACTTCAAGGATCTGTTCTCTTGTTAGTATTCTGGGACAAATATGTTCTCCATGATGACTGGGTCCAATCTAGAAAATTACCCCTTTAAATACATTTTCCCTGTCACTTCCCACATTTCAGTAACTTTTTTTTTAAGATTTTAAATTTTTATTTATAATTATAGAGTACACTGTAGCTGTCTTCAGACACACCAGAAGAGGGTGTTGGATACCATTACAGATGGTTGTGAGCCACCATGTAGTTGCTGGGAATTGAACTCAGGACCTCTAGAAGAGCAGTTAGTAGTACTCTTAACCGCTGAGCCATCTCTCTCCAGCCCATCAGTAGTATCAAAACTTCTCTTCAGTTCAGTGGATCAGGAAATATGATCATTCTTTACCTCTTCTGTTTTTTGGGGATTGGAATGAAGAAAGGTATATTGGAGAAAATTAAACTTACCCAATTAATGCATCATTGACATGTTCAACTAAGACAAACATTTGAATGTTAGCTCTTGTGAGTAATGTTGAGGTCCTGAAGCTTCCCATGGTGACATGTGCATTAGCTAACTTTGGCTGATTCCTATGATATGTAAGCCAATTACCCCTCAAATTCATAGCTCTTAAGCCTGATGGTATATGCTGGTTAGTTTTTGTCAAATAGACAGAACTAAAGTCACCTGTGAGGACATCTCAGCTGAGAAAATGCCTCCATCACATGGGCCTGTAAGCATGTCTGTGGGGCATTGCCACTCATAGGCAGGTGGGCCTGGGCTGTATAAGAAAGATAATTGAATAAACCAGGGAAAGTAAACTGGATAAGCCACATTACAGCCTCTACTTCAGTTCCTGCCTCATGCTCCTGCCCTGGCTTTCCTTAATGATGGACTGTAACCTGTAAGATGTAATATACCCTTTCTTCCCC